ACACACCCACCCACTGTCCCCACACACTCCCAAACACACCCACCCACTGTCCCCACACACCCCCAAACACACCGTCCCACTGTCCCCACACACCCCCAAACACACCCACCCACTGTCCCCACACGCCCCCAAACACACCCACTCACTGTCCCCACACGCCCCCAAACACACCCACCGTCCCCACACACCCCCAAACACACCCACCCACTGTCCCCACACACCCCCAGACACACACACACCTACAGACACACACACACACCCACAGACACACACACACCCACAGACACACAAACTCTCTACCCTCCCATATTCCCACAGACATCCCCACACACCCTCATACACTCACGGAGACATCCCCACACATATCTACATATACACACACATGCACACACAAATCCTCCATCCCCACACACAAACACACACGCACACCAACAGACACACCCGCACGCACCCACCCTCCACTCCCTTACACACACCCACCTCTGCACACACAACACCTACACTTGCACACGCACACACACATGCACACCCACATACCCACACATCCCTACACACACACCCACACACACAATCCCACTCACACTCACACACACCCACAGACACAGACACAAAAACTCTCTACCCTTCCACATTCCCACAGACATCGCCACACACCCTCATACACACACAGAGACATCCCCACGCACACCTGAACATGCACACACAAATCCTGCACCCCCACACATACCGATACACACATCTCCACAAATACACACCCTCCAAACCCACACACATCTCTCACACACGCACGCATTCATGCACATGTGCACACACACATGCGCACAGACACACAACCCCCACACACGCGCATGCACACCCACATGCACACCTGCGCACACACCTACCCATTCCTATACACATTCCCATACATCCTTATACACACACACCCACATGGACATCCCCCCACACATATGTATACCCCCCCCCCCCCCCCCCACCCACAAGCAGTACTGGAAACACGCTCCCCCCCCTCCCCCTGACCCACACGCAGTGCTGGAAAGGCACCCCCCTCTCCCCCTGACCCACAAGCAGTGCTGGAAACACACACCTCCCCCCTCCCCCTGACCCACAGGCAGTGCTGGAAAGGCAC